TCGTGCGGAAGACTACACTAGACCATAACAAAAAACTAAGGTTCCTGTTTAGTATATACATAGCCATATCCAATCCGACAAAAATACCCTGTAACCTGGCCATCCACGGGTGTGTATTCTCCATTTTATTTGACAGTGATCAAGTCCACCTGGGTATGTACTACGGAGTAGGTACGGAGTACGAAGTAGTACTTGCCTAGATGCCTAAATATCCCAGATTTCAAGGTGACAAAAAACAAATACCTACAGGACTGAATCAATATGACACAGACCCCAATAAGCAAAGTACATATGTACCCAAGGAACCTTGAAAGTTCACCTTTTCAAATAGCTGTGGGCAAAATTAAGTTGTTCCATGCAAATCTCTATGTTCACCGAATTTTCAGGTGTTGAAACTATTTGCAGGAAAAATGACGCTGTTGCGACCGAACAAATCTCCATATATAGCTAGCCCGGGGCTTTATGCTCTCTGTATCCTCCCCCACTAGCTCCAGTGTAGCGAATTGTCCTGAGACTGAGCTCGCGCTTGCTTCCGCACTGTTTTCTACAGTTTCGACTGCTACAGAAGGAGGAATTGGATCATAAACACCTGGAATTGGGGAATATAGGGATTTGTATGGCTAGGAATAGGTTCGCAGCGATTAAGGGGAATGTTTACAATACATGGTATGGAGATATATAAAAGCGGTCTGAAATAAGGCATACTCCAGGCATTTCAGCTTTGTCGGCGCAGATACACCAGGATACCGGAGGATTTATTAATCCTAAGTATACAGTAATATTTCTTATATAATCAGGACAGTATAAATTGCCAGGAAGTCAATACAGCAATACGGAGAGTTGAATACCATTGATTGGACCCATACATTTCCACCATACGGAGTAGTCGGACAGTTATAAGCCCGGTTCGCACTGAATAAGACTACTATATCGGTATATAGTACCTAGCAACTTGCTAGAAACTGTCTTATAAACCTCCACGAAGCCACTCCGCAGAAAGTCATCCCTTGTTTCATATCAAAACAACACAGCATCCAGCAATAGAAACAGTATCGATTCTCTCCGCTATAAAGGGCGATAAACTGAAGGATACACCGCAATGGCTTACCTGGTTTGCGAAGGTGCAGCTATACGCAATGCAAAAAAATGTCTGGGATCACTATAACCCGGATACCCCGTCAACTGAACGACCTGATACTCTAAAGGAACCGGTATAACCAGAATATCCTGAAGAGGGCACCGAAACAGATCGAAGGAAATAGAGAGACTAAGCAGATATATATAAAATAAGCTATACTCGATAGGAGAAGTAAGTAAAGGGACTGAGTGATATAAATAAATATATCCTTACCTATCTTGACCCAGTACACTACCTCGCACTGATTATATATCGTATACCGTATAATAGACTTATATATCTAAAGTCTCGGTTCGCTCGATCGACCGCGTATAAGGAGGAAATCCGAATAAGTTGGAAAGTGTTTACAATACAGAAGCCGACTGGAGATATCGATAAGTGGCTCTAAAAGTAGAACTCGCTAAGGGAGTAAGCGGTTAGTCTTAGTATTAAGGACGGAGATACTAATAGGGACTTCCTATACACCGTGAAAGAAGTTCTACCTATATAGTGGTAAGGTAAATACTAGGAAATAGTGATAGAAAAGAAGGTATATAATACCCGAGATCTCCTTAAATTATTCCGCGCGATAAATCGCGAGATAGGAGTATAGGTAGTGTTATCAACCACTCCTCTAAAAGGCGCTTTCTCGACCTAGTAAGGTTACTAAGAGGCGAAACCGGAAATAAAGTAAAAGAAGCTTCCGTTTAAGAAGAGACACTGCCCTTATAGTAGCTTACACCCGAAGTATAAAGTTGCTACTTACTGGCTCCTAAACAAAGCGATTCGGCTAGAAGGGTATACCCTAAACGAAGGGAAACTAGAGAAAGTAAAGAAGAAGTTAGGAAAGGACTACGCTTAGAAGCAATAGGTGGATAAAGTAATAGCTAAAGCTCAGTAAGCTTAGTAAGTATAGGAAAAACCAGCCGAATCCGCTAACTAAGTTAGCTTTATAACCACTTTTCGAAGTAAGCTAAGTGAAGCTATATAGATTAGTAAGCACGTACTCTCTGTGGTAAAGGTAGGTAAGCCCTCCCTCTATAACCGGTGGATTCTTGATACCGGATTAAGTATATATATCTATAATAACCGAGCCCTATTCGTCGACTTTACACCTGATATAATTGACCTAATAACCGGAGATAGTACTATATAGGTGCTAGGGAGAGGTAAAGTTAGACTTTTAGGGAGATACCCAGTAAAGGGAAGGATAGAGATTACCTTAAGCGACGCTCTATACTTACTAAGTTTCTATACGAGTCTCGTATCGTACGCGATACTAAAGAAGAAAGGCGGCCTCTAGTACCAATATATAAACTGTATACAGGACCTAAATAATAGACCTATCGTCTATATAAACCTATAGGATCAATTCAATCTCTGGATCTTTAATAAGCTAGGCGAGGCTCCGCTACAACAAGTATATACTGTGTAGTAAGTACAACGGAAATCAGTGAAGCCACAGGAATTAAGGGCTTCCTCTGAAATTTGGTACCGACGCCTAGTATATATTTAACCGCGGACCGTAGTAAAGCTTACTACTATAGTAGACGGTGTTATTCTTAACGATAAAGGAGGAGTAAGCACAGAGTAAGAATCTCTATATTAGACCTATAAGATAGGAAGTGCTCCGAGGTAGATTTCAAGACGATAAGTTAGATATACCTTTAGACGTTTTAGAAGGGTATATTTCGACCTAATTTAGCTGCAGCCAGCCTACAATAAGCACCGCTGGATATCCTACTTCTACCTAGAAGGACCGAGATTCCACTAGATTATAACTCACGAAGTGAAACCTAAATATTAATTGGCTATTAACCAGTTTGTACAACTTATAAGAAATCAGTGGAAGCTACCAATTAAGGCCTTCCACTATAACAATAAAGCAGCAGCTGGTAGAGCAGCGGAGTATAGTCTTATAAGCGATAGTATCCTAATATATTACTCCCCCCTAGGGTACTTAGAGATAAATAGGTATACTGAGAGATTAGGTAGAATAATTATCACCTAGATATATATACTCGCCCTCGAAGGGAACCTCCTAAAGGAGCTATAGCCGGAGTTCGTAAGCGCCGCTGTATAGTTATTAAATCGTATACTAACGTATATCGCTGCCGAGAATCGGTGGGTAGTACTATAGGAGGAAGTAAGGAAGGAAGTCGCACTATAGGCGCCGAGGATAAACCTATCAAATATTAGGTTATATAGAAGCTTAGTATACTGCAGTATTGAGAAGTAAGTACAGTCCGATAAGATAAACCTATATATAGAGATTGGCTTCGTGGTAGGATACCTTACCTCGAATATCTAGAAGATCTGGTTCCTATATAGTGGGAAAGTGAGGTATATTAGGGATACAGTTATTGATAAGACACGAAAATATACCCCTAATTATAAGAAATATCAGCCTATCCCACTACCAGCTATAACGGGACCACAGGAACTCACTGTTAAGGAGGTCGCACAGGTGATAAACCACTAAATTACTAGTTAAGAGGAGACTAGTATAATAGAAGAGAGGACTCAGGATCTACAGGAAGTATAGGAGCCTCAGTAAGTATAGCAGTAAGAGGAGGTTCCGCAGTAAGTAGAGATCTAAAAGATAATAGTTAACTAACGAGGGACTACCCTAGTCTAGGGGGTAGGTAATAGGTTATATTGGCCGACCCTAGACCCTCTACTATAAGTACTACTAGGTTCCTTTCCGATTGAACAGCCCCTACTACCACTACCAATCACCCCACCGTAGGAGTAAGAGAGGTATACTGGCTCTGGTTAGGGGGTAGATACCGAGGGAGATCAAAGGGACTAGATCCAGTAAGAAGAAGCGGATCTTAAAACCACTGAAGACGAACTAGAGAAGTAACTTTAGGTAGAGCTACTAGCTCCGAGAAGAGAGATAATCGGAGATATAGATACCAGTAATATACTCAGTGGTAGGCGTAGACGCTAAGTAAGGTAGGAAAAAGACTTCGCCTACGCGATAAGCACTACCTAAGAAGTAGAACCACCGGCGCTACTCTATACTTTTACCGCTGGCTTATACGCTGAGAAACCAGACACTTACCGCCACCGAGACGACCTCCTACTACCGCTAAAATACTAGAAGGATATAATAAACCACCTATTTCAGGAAGGTTTTCTCGCAGCGATAAGGAAGGAGATTAACTCCCTCTCTGAAAAGGGGACTTTTAAGGTTATTAAGAAACTAAGAGACCGAGGGAAGCAGATTCTCCCTCTTTTATAGGTGTTCTTATACAAATTTGACTAGGATAGGTACCTTTTGAAGCTTAAGGCCTGTATCTGTGTGCGCGGAGACCTTAAAACTATCTCTTACGAGGAAAAGAGAGCTACTACACTAGCAGTAAGGACAGCGAGGATAATTTTTACCTTAGTTACTGCCTTTGATCTTAACCTAAGACAGAGAGATACTGTTACCGCGTTCCTAAACAGTAAGTTAGACTAAGAGACGTATACGTATATATCTAAGGGATTTCAAAACCTAGGTAAATACTGGAAGTTACGTCGCGCGCTATACAGTCTACGGATTTCACCACAACTTTAGCAGTAAGAAGCAGTAAGCGTACTCCGTAAGCTAGGTCTACAGTAAGTGCCAGAAGACCTATACGTTTTTATAGGAAAAGGACTACTAGTTTTCTTCTATATAGATAATATCCTAATCGCTAGTTATACTAATATAAAGGCGTAGGCACAGCAATTAGAGCGAGATCTCGAAGTACAAAGTTCGAGAACCACGGGTTCATTCATAAGGTCAGCATGGTGATCTGGAAAAGGAATGTCTCGATATCCAACTAAAAAGGTTGCAGAATGGAGCTTCATTCAGCTATAATAGCAAGCCTCCAGCATGTAAATAGCTGCCACGATGTTGTTCGAAAGGTCAGGGCTAACCGAGCACTATCTAGACACAAATTTCCTTGCATTTGGTGGACATGCATGGAATGTAATTCGTTCTGAGTGCGATCAGATTCTCTTTGAACATGCTGGAGATAGCGGCGTCAAAGCGTTCGATGGAGTGAAAGTCAATAAAATTGAATTTCTGCCCACAGGTTGCCAGGAAGGCCATGGTAATTCGAATCAAGGACGGCCCGTCTCTGCCTCCTGGACACGCAAGGACAACACCGCCAGCGGTACGATTCGATTTCAGTACCTGGTGGATGCGAGTGGGCGGGCGGGTTTGGTCAGTACTAAGTATATGAAGAATCGCCGATATAACGAAGGTCTTAAGAATATTGCGACCTGGGGTTATTTCGAGGGAGCTGGAACGTATGGCAGGGGTACTCCTGCAGAAGGGGGTCCGTTCTTTCCCCGACTACAAGGTAATATGTGCACAAATATCTGAGTTAATGTAATATTAAAGCAACCTGCTAAAATTCTGTGCTCTTAGATGGGAGCGGCTGGGCGTGGTTTATTCCTCTCCACAACAATACAACATCTGTTGGCGTGGTCATGCAGCAGACCAGTTTCACAGCCAAGAAGAAGCAGATGGCATCACCCACCACGCGTGAGTTCTTTCTGCAACACATGAACGATGCTCCAATGATTTCCGAACTTCTAGAAAATGCCACACTCGTGTCCGAGGTCAAATCGGCCACCGACTGGTCGTACAGCGCCTCATCTTACGCCAGTCCCTATATCCGCATAGTCGGAGATGCCGGATGTTTCATTGACCCTCTTTTCTCGTCGGGCGTGCATCTAGCGTTCACTGGGGCCCTCTCTGCCGCCGCCTCTATCTGTGCGGTAATCAAGGGCGACTGCACCGAGCAGACGGCTGTTATTTGGCACTCGGAGAAGATTCGGGAGGCATATACAAGGTTTCTGCTTGTGGTTACCAGCGCGTATGCACAAATCACGGGACAGGAGCGTCCGGTGTTGAATGAGTATGATGAGACAAACTTTGATCGAGCTTTCAGTTTCTTCCGACCAAGTAAGTCTATTCCAAGTTTGTATCCGTTTCATACCAGCGACTTCAAGACCCGTGATGCTAATCCCGGCTAGTTATCCAAGGGACTGTGGAGATCGGTGGAGGAAAGCTGAGTTCTCAGGACGTGGCCGATTCAGTGGAGTTCTGCATGCGAGTCATCCGTAAGGTGGATGGCACTACAGAAATGGCTCCAAACGGAGAAATGCTCCCTGAAGATGAACATGGCGAGTTAACGTGCGATCGCATCAAGAAAGCGGAACTCAAGTCAGATCTCAACAAATTCCGCGTTGATGTTGTAAATGGGATGACCGTCAATCTTCAACGGGGAGCACTAGGACTGGTTCGAGCAGCTTGATAAGATAGCAGGGATCATTGAAGGTGATAGGGAAACAGTTAGGCAAGATGGATTGGCTAGTGGGAATTTTACTAGTCGAAATTCCTCTAAAACCGTAAACATTCCACACGAAGAAAGCATATGGAATGACGGATAAAACGCTAAGAGTAAATTATCTACCACTTCCATAACTATTCAATTCAAAGGCTCAATGACAAATGATTTAGAAGCAATGTATCACGATAACCATAATTTGGATATGTATTTTGCGAGACTGCCGATATTGAAATTATGCAATCACAGAGAATAATATGTAGAAGACTGGCAATCAGACTAGGGGGTTTTAGATCATGGATCTCAATGGAGACTACTTCTTGGTAGCTATTCCACGATGGCCTGCATATCCAGGCCAGCTGGGAATCCAGCTGTAACAGGCTGTTTATATTAGACCCGATGGCATAATGCAAAATTCAGTTCTCTCTCAGCAGCTCGGCTTGTAATTGTTCACAGAACCCATGTCCTACACTGCCTTTATGCAGCCAATTATAATGATTCCGTATGAGTTGTAAGCTATTTTGGATAATTGATATTACGTATATTTGGTCTCGAGGTACGGAGTAAACTGATAGACCATAATGCAGATTAAAACGGCGCTTTATTGTCCACAAATCTTTATTTATCATTGACAGAATCTGCCCGGACCGCCTCAAGCACCGCTTGTCGATGAAGACCAGCTGTTTCTGGCCGCCACACCCGTACCAGGTCAAGTCCCACGGACCCGAGCAATTCTCGGAACTGTGCCTCTGTTCGTTCGAGGGAAGAACATAAGGCCATCATATTGAAATCCATGATCGTATCTGATAAATGGACCTTCGCCGCATCATCTGGTAACACACGGTCGTGAATCAGGAGCACAGAGTCTTTGCCCATGGCATTGCGGATATGCTGCAGGATGCTCCGCGCCTGAGCGTCCGGCCAATCATGCAGGACACGGCCCAGAAAGTAGACATGTGCCCTTGTCACGGGTTGGGGCTCAAAGAAGTCATACGGCATAGCCTTCACTGTCTGCGTGGCGGGGACGGTTATCTGGAGTTCCGGGAGCATGCTCTGGATAACGCCGGGTACATCCTGGAGGGTAAAATGGCCCTGTAGAGATGGAAGCGTATCAAGCAAAATGCGGATTTCATGGCCAATGCCACCTCCGACATCTACCAGTTGGAGCTCTTCATCAACAGGAGAGCTGGTGCTCAAGAATCGTTGGAATCGCTGCTCGACGGGGAATATTTGGGTCCATCGCGCGGAATTGTCACGTTCAACACCGGCCTGCATTGTACGGTTGAAGGCATCCATTTGAGATGGGCGCGACTTCATCCAGTTGAAATAATGCTCATTTGTGTCAAAGACATATTGAAAGGGTCCTGCATAGGCGTTTTCGGGAGATCTGTATTGGTTGTCCCTTAAGTATTCAGGAAGTTTCGCGAATATTTGGAAGTGAATGTCACTGGTAGTATCCGTGAAGAATTAGAATACTGATCAGCTTAGGATAGCGCAGTAATTTCTCTGGATATGTATCAAGGCTTACAAGTTCATTATGATCCGGCTTGCCAAGTAGCCACCCGGAGCGAGATCCTTCACCATGGGGCCGGGGCTATAGGTACCTCCTAGGGTGACATTGAAGATACCAGACGCTGTCAATGACCGCAAAATACGGCCTGGTTATTTGAATCAGTTATCTGCTGGCGGAAATTGGCAGGAGGAACTGTGGCTCTCTTACAAATAAGCAATGGATCTCCACCTGTGTGCGATGCTATTTCGTCGCTCGTAAATTCCTCTTTACCGGAATTATGGACGAAATCAAAGATGCCCAAGTTGATGGCGACGCGGGCGGCTACGATTGGGGATATCTACTCGGCGTCAATACATCGAATGCATATACTCATTACACCAGTGATATATTTACCGCAACAGTGGCTTTCTCTAATCTTGAGTTTGGGTGTTCGATAATTGCAGAAAGCTTTTCACATGCCCGCAACAGCTCTACTCGCTCCTGAAGGTCAATCGTAGGCTGGCTGGAAAGGGCCTCTGCTGTCTCACAGATAGAAGTGGCGAGTCTTGTAAGATCCATCGCTGCACGGTGGGGATGATAAAACCCGAATGATGGATGGATTACTGGCCATTTGGGGGTAGGCAACAGACTGTCATTAAACATAATCTCACATAAACTACCTTACGAATACGAATATTTTCGATAAAAAACACAGAAGATACATACGCAGTAATACATACAACATATTTGGCAGCTGTGATCCCGGATATGACCTGTCAAATGCACATGAGATCACACGGTCCAACAGAAAGGGATATGTCATACGGAGTATTTAGTAACTAATTGTTCTTTTTGCTGCCTAAATACAGTGCAGATCGTCCGTGGTTGCATAAAATTAGCACCATGTCTATGCATCTCTCTTCTTCACGAACTCATTGTCGAAGTCTAGGCCCGCGTCGCATCTAATTATCCCGTACGACGCCGCCGAGTCCAACTGCCGATCCTGCTCCTGGGAAAAGACCTTGGCCCGTTTGAGATTGTCTAAGATGAGTTCTCCGACTGGCAATCTAGTTCCCGCCGCAGCGGCACAGCCAAGGGCGTGGTCAACATCCTTTAGAGCCAGATCTAGATTAGACCACGGAAGTGTGCCTATCGAGGTCAGCATAATATTTGTGCATGTCTGGGTGGAAACCTCACCCCTAGGCGGCATATATACACCCTGGGTCAGCCGCTTGGAAATCATGGCTGGGAGAGGTCCGAACTGGGCTTCCAACAGCATCTCAACTACATCACAGCCCAGCTCACTCTTCTCCGCAAGTACATGAGCTTCACCGACGATCTCTGTCAGACCCGAGACGACGAAGTTCCTTGCATTTTCCTTAGACGTTGTGGCACAGACATTGCAGGTTTGAGTCTAGAATGAACTCACCCAATGATTTTCAGCAGAGAGGCCTTTTCTGGCTGCTTTGCTACCTCAAGAATATCACGCGCGACCACGCCTTTGATATACGGGGATATTCGGTGTATCGCGCAGCGAGCACCCGCAGCGACAATTAGGATCCTTCGATCTACGGCCATTGGGGCGGAGCCAAATACAGGACCTGGATAACATAAGCGTGATAAATAAATTTCAAAACCAAAGAAAAACGGTGGGGGTCGAGCAACATACCCGACACCAGAAAGGCATTTTCCTGGGCCAACTTCGCAGCAACAGCCTTGGTTGTATCTGGATGGACGGTGGTTGTGTCAACAATAATCTTGTCGGTCAGACATCCGGTGGAGATAATTTGTGCAATTATGGTCTGTAGTGCTTCATCGTCACTAGTCTGATTGTGTGGTTAGGAATCTGAGATGTTAATCTAGGTCTGAAATGCCTACCGAGATGAAGATAATCGTACTCTCCTTGACCACGGCAGCGACAGAGTAACATTGAATGCCACCAAGTTTCGCCACAGTATCCCCTTTGGATGTAGTGCGATTCCAGAACCGCAATGGTGGTTGGCTCTGAGCACGGAGATGGTTCTGGAGGTTTGTTGCCATTGCGCAACCCATGTTTCCGAGACCTACAGGAATCACCTGGCATTAGCGAGGGGTTAATGAAGAGGGTGCTATAATAGAGGGACATGCCAATCCACCCTAGTTGGGGAGGTGCTGGACTAGTCATTTTACTCTGTCGTTTCGAGGGCCTTATTTTGGTTGCAAGGGGAGATGATTGAATAGGTTTCTGCAAAGATGTGCCTTATAGAGTTCCATAGGGGTGAAAATCAAATTCGGCTCAATCTGGCTATTTCAGTTCAGTCTCCACGTCATACAGAACATCCCCATTCAACACCCCAGACATAGACATGCCCCAGAATCGATTGACGTGCAACATAATCCACATATACCACTCTTTGCACCACACCGCCCACGGGGACTGGTTACGGCGCATCCTGCCATTGTGTAATGCAACCTCATTGATGCGTTGGATGCGCGGGCGGCGGATCTCATCAAATCGGCTAAAAACCTGACCTAGGTCCGCATAGTCCCCAGCTTGATACTTTTCCAACAGTCCAGAAAGCAGTAGCACATCCTCAAACGCGAGGGAGACACCCTGTCCAGCGTGAGGTTGCACGGCATGGGCGGCATCTCCCATCAGCAACACCCGAGGGAATCCTTGTGGTGTAGCTGAGGGCAGAAACCACCGCCCACCGAGTGGCAGGCGATAATGCGGGTAGAAATGCAAATCCCTACTAGCGTCCACTAGCTGCCGCAGATATTGCCCCCACCTTCCATGCACGCTGCCCAGTACAGTCGCGAGTGAATTACGACAATCCGCCAGCTCTTTCTGTCGGTGAAGTGACCAGCCGTCACGGACGTCGGCCGAGGATGTCCCTGCGGGCAGAGGCACCTCCTTGCTAAAGAACCAGAAGATTTGCTTGGCGGCACACGGCGCAGTGGCCAGCATACCGTGGGGTGTAATTGTTGAATGCAGGCAGGTCGCATCCTCGGGTTCTCGGTCTACTAGGTCGTCCACAATCGATGATATCGCTGCAATGCCAGAATAGACGGGCGTAATCTCGGGATCGACGTGTAGCCTGCGCACAGACGAGTGTATTCCATCACAACCAAGGAGAAGGGGGGCCGTGTCACTAGTGCCGTCGGAAAAGGTCACCGTGACGGAGTCCCCATGGTCGTCGATGCAGGTGACCTGTTTGTTGTAGTGGATAGGGATCTGGTATTTCTGCGTGGCCTCCCGCAGTAACTCGACCAGATCCACCCGATTGATCCGGAGATAGCCGAAGCCTGTCTTTCGTTTAGCTTCCGTAGAGACATCGACTTCGCTCAGCACACTGCCAGATGTGGAGTGTAGGACAGTTTTGGTGATTTCGACACTGCGCGGGATAATCGTGTCCCAGAGACCGAGTCGGTGTAGAACTCGCAGACCATTTGCAGGAATGCCTAGAGATCCCCCAATACCTGCAGTTTCTGGGTCGCGTAGCTCGTAGATAACCGGGCTCAGCTTGTTCTGTTGAGCCAGACGGATCGCAGCTGCGAGTCCGGTTGGTCCTCCTCCAATGATAATGACCTATATGTCGGTCAGTGTGGCTCTATGGAAAATAAAAGTAAGGGTACAGACTTTTTGGAGGTCATACATTGTGTCTTCGATTCAAGAGAGAAAAATCGAGTTCCAGGAGGAGATGTTATGGATTGATATATATGTAGATGTGGCACAGAATGTCTTCAGAAGCAAGAAATACCCACTATATGAATTGATATTGGCGCCTTGCAGCCATACACAAATCAATGCCAGATCCATTTTGCGGTCAGGAATGTACCTATAGGAAACTTTCGAGTCTCATGTAGGCAGCTGGATTGAGAATCAGGGGTTTGATTTATGTCACTCGCACATGCCTCAAATAATCCATCACTGTTCAGCCTTTTCTCCGGTTGAACAATTCACCATTGATGAATTCATCACCAAAAAATGGCATTTACCAACCTCACACTCCTCCTAGAGGCCGTCGCTGATCAAGAGGGTAGCGGGAATATTATCTGCTATCCTCCCCAAAACACGACCAAGCCCAAGTCATATTCTTACCACCAGCTGCTGCAGGCCGCCCAGAAGGCCTCATGGGCACTGCGATGCAAACAAGAGGTGTTCCCTCGAGGCCGGGTGATTCTCATCCACTTAGACACTCACTGGGAAAGCATAGTCTGGTTCTGGGCCGTCACACTGGCCGGCTGTATTCCAGCTATGTCAACATCGCTGTCCAACAACCCGACAGCGCGCATATCACATTTGGAGCATTTAACTACCACCCTAAAGCATCCCGGCTGTCTGACTACAGCTGCTAAGCTGTCTGAATTTGGAGGACAAGATGATATCACGCCCATTGCTGTGGAGTCGCTAGACATGGACAACGCCCCGATCGCAGAGCTGCTCGATGTGTATCGCGACGCCAAACCCGCTGACATCGCCATCCTGATGCTCACATCTGGTAGCACCAGCCACGCCAAGGCGGTCATTCTCACCCATAAACAGATATTCACAGCACTGGCTAGCAAATATAAGGTCGTGCCACTGCCCGATGAGACCTCGTTCTTGAATTGGGTCCGCTGCGACCACGTTGCGGCTATTTTAGAAATCCACCTGCAAGCTCTGTTCGCACGTCAAGACCAGGTACATGTGCAAGCGGCGGATATCTTATCGCACCCACTCGCATTCTTGGATATTGTCAATCGTCATCGCGTTTCCCGTACCTTTGCGCCCAACTTCTTCCTCGCTCGCATCCGGGCCGCACTCGAAGGCCATGGCGACCGCTGCATCGCATACAACTGGGATCTTACCTGTCTGCGGTATATTGCCTCAGGTGGCGAGGCGAACGTCACCAAGACTGGTGCTGCAGTGGCAAAGTTGCTCGCTCGGTATGGTGCCCCTGAGACCGTCATTGCTACGGGCTTTGGTATGACAGAAACATGCGGTGGCGCCATCTACAACCTAGACTTCCCTAGATACGATCTCGACCGAGGTCTTGAGTTTGCATCTACAGGAAAGTGTATGCCGGGTCTGATTATGAGGGTCACCACTGTCGCGGACCATACCATCGCACCGACTGGGGTTGTGGGCAACCTCGAATTGACAGGGCCGATCCTTTTCGAGGGGTACTTCAACAACTCAGCCGCAAACGAGCAGTCATTCACCAGCGATGGATGGTTCCGGACGGGCGATCTGGCTTCTATGGATGACCAAGGCAATCTCCACATGATGGGCAGGGCTAAAGAAGCTATGATCGTCAACGGCGTCAAGTACAGCCCGCAGGAGATTGAGACTGCGCTAGATGAGCCAGGCAAAATTCCTGGCCTGGTTCCGAGCTTCACATGTTGTTTTTCCTCATTTCCTGCAGGTGGTGACACAGAAGTAATCTGCGTGGTGTACTTACCAAGCTATGCCCCAGACGATAGCACCGCGCGAGCCACAACAGCCGATGCCATCGCGAAGATTGCGATGATGTCTACAGGCTCCAGACCACAGGTTTTGCCTCTTGAAAGGTCGCAACTGCAGAAATCCGCTCTGGGCAAACTATCACGAACCAAAATCAAGATGGCGTTTGAGAGAGGCGAGTACGGCACAAATCAAGAGATTAATTCGCAAGCAATCAAACTGCACCGGGCGACCTCCCATGTCCATCCTGCAAACGAGCTGGAAAAGCACTTGCTCACTCTTTTCATCGAGTCCCTCGACCTTCCCGAGGATGAGTTTGACGTGCGGTCCTCTCTCTTCGACATGGGCGTCACATCGGTGGAGCTCATCAAGCTCAAGAAGTCCATTGAAGAGAAACTGGGTCTCTCGTATGAAATCCCCATAATCACCTTGATGGTGAACCCCACTGTCCGCGACCTTGCCAGCGCGCTGGAGGACCAGCATGGTCATCATAAACGAGACGAGTATAATCCTGTGGTGACTCTGCAGGCTCATGGAGACAGGGCACCACTGTGGCTTGTGCACCCAGGAGTAGGCGAAGTTCTTGTCTTTCTTAATTTGGCAAAATTCCTGGTTGATCGAAAGGTCTACGCTTTACGTGCGCGGGGGTTTAACGAAGGCGAACAGCCTTTCGAGACGATTACGGAAGTTGTCAGCACATACCATGCCGCCATCAAACGAAATCAGCCGCGTGGGCCGTATGCACTGGCTGGGTATTCATATGGCACAATGCTGGCCTTCGAGGTGGGCAAAGTGTTGGAGAGCCATGGGGATGAGGTGCGTTTCCTGGGCTCCTTCAACCTACCGCCTCATATAAAGTCCCGCATGCGACAGCTGGACTATAAAGAATGCCTGCTGCATCTCTCGTACTTTTTGGATTTAATGACCGAAGATCGAGCGCGGGAACTGGCAGCAGAATTGCAAGGTGCAACTCGGGAAGCAGCTCTTGCGAAGGTGATGGCGGAAGCCAATCAGGATCGGCTCATCGAACTGGCCTTGACACCTGATGCTCTGACAAAGTGGGCAACCCTAGCCTTCGCCTTACAGAGGATGGCTGTTGACTATGATCCCACCAGCTCCATTGCTAGCATTGATGTCTTCTACTGCAATCCTCTGGCCGTGGCGGCCTCGTCTAAGGCTCAGTGGCTCAGTGAATATTTGAGTCAGTGGAAACATTTCTCGCGCGCCCCGCCGTGCTTCCACGATGTTGGAGGTGCCCATTACACTATGTTAGGGCCAGAACATGTCTTTGGTTTCCAAAAGACATTACGAAGTGCGCTTGATGCAAGGGGGATTTAGGATTTATTCAGATGGAGAAAGTAGCGAGGCAGGTGAGGGCATTCATGATAGCAAATAATCAGGATTAAGGAATACTTTGTCTAAAATATGATGTACGGCAGGTTTTTGGTGCCATCGCGCCAACCCATATATTTTGTTTACCGCCTATCTTACGGCCTTACTCTCATCTGTATACTCCTGTAGGCCTCTGCCAAACCCGCAAAGCCTAAAGCCCAGCCCAACCCAGCCCACTAATAGGTTAGGCTTTGGGCCCATTATTCGGGCCTATCGATAGGTTATGGGCTTATACCTTGAGCCTATAGGGCCTATAGGGCCTATAATAGGCCTCTATTATTTATCAAACAATACAAATATACCAACCTATTGCAACTGTATAATTAATACATTTTTTGCTGGTTTTTTTGGGTATTGAGATTACTATCCAGGCTTTATATAAATAAACATTTGAAGCTATACGTGAATTATTATATTCTTCCTCTTCTTCATCTTCTTCTTCCTTTACAAATTTACAAGTAAAGTTATAGAAAGTAATAATTCAAATGATTTGATTCAATTAATAAGATACTAGAATTAGTGTTATATTCGTATAATTCCTACTTCTTACTATAATAATGCAGGTTTTTAATCTACTCGAAATTGATGTATACTACTAAAAATTCTTATCAATCTCTATCGGCAAACTACTGTTAATAAAAATCGTTTGGTTGTGGAGATATAAGTGTAGTATACATCGATTTTACTATGGTGTTTCGACTGCGCAGCTCGCTTGTGTGCGCAGCTCGTATGTGAAATACGTTATACCAAGATAATATTTATGTATGCAGCAAAATAGGTTTTGACAGGGACCTATAAGGCCCCCATCGCCCGGCTTATTTATGGGCTTTGCAGAGGCCTAACCTTGGGACCTCCCGCAGCTGGGTTTGTATTGTTGATTAATTACTAATTTTCTGCCTGGCAAAAAGACGGTTGGCGCGATGGCACCAAAAACCTGCCGTAATGATGGTACCCAAACAGGTCCACTCATCAGAGAGCTAGGCTCGTTGAAATTAATTTTTGATGGATTTGGAGACGAAAGGACAAGCACATATCACGATTATTATTACATGGCGCAAAATATGTTCCTTCATTAATGTATGAACCCAAAACGCTATATCAAGGCGTCAAGACCAACGATCAAATAAAACCAGGGGGGCTGTCCGTAATCACACAATATTGATCCTCCCCGTTGCATATCCTAAAGTTTCTCAAAGTATATATCGCTTCTTAATCAGATCGGATGCTCTCTCGGCCACGGCATAAAGGGTGCTTGTCAAATGACCACAGAGCTGGAAAGGCAAGACAGAAGCGTCAACTACTCGGACATTGTGAGTACCGTAAACCCTAAGCTCATAGTTGACAACGCCGCCTTTATCTCGAGGCAGCATGCTGGCAGTACCAACTGGATGGAAGTTCGACCTGTCTAAAATAGGGTCAGTGAATCCTTCTGGGCTCCAACTTGAAGAGGAAATACTGACATTTTGACATAACCCAGTCCTCCCATGTAGAGTCTGACGCATTTTCCTGAACATGCTTCAGTCCCGGTGCAAATTCCTCTCCCACAAGGTTGCTCAGCGGAGCGGTCTTGAATGCCTTGCGGATATACCGAGCAAGATCAGCATGAGCTTTCAGATCCTGGCCAAACATGAAGTAGTTTGGGTTTATAGAGGGTGGCTGGGAGGCATTTTTGGACTTTATGTGAACACTTCCTCTCGAAAAAGGAAGAAGAGGCCAGTATTCGCTGGAAAAGGTGTTTCCAATAGGAAGTAAGACAATCTCCGCGTATGGAACTTGCGATTTGAATATTAGATCGTGCTGAACCTGGAAAGCAGCCAGAACATTGGCTTCCTGGACTGCATCATTGGAGTATTTCGATACGTTTTTTGCATAATCTGCCAGGCTTGAGTTGACAATAGATGCAAAAGTGAGAACATTATCACCAAATATCTGATCTGCTGATGGTAGCGCAGAAAAGGTCGGGGAACCGAGCCAAAACTCGTTTCCTCTATAAGAGAACCCATTGTTGGTCTGATCTTGCAAATTCTCACCAACGGCGGAGATGTTGACTTGGAGAGGGATTTCAAATCGACGGAGAATGTCGGGATTTCCAATACCAGACAGCTCCAGAAGCACAGGGGATTTGAGGGATCCAGCCGACAGAATTACCTCCTTCGAAGCGTATATTATCTCAACCCCCTTGAGTCCGGTAACTTCAACTCCAATAGCAATGGCCTCACTGGAATCATTTGCCCAAATGATCTTATTCGCGTAAGTGTGTGGCATAACCTCGAGATTGGAGCGATTCTCATAGGGCCAGTAGTAAGCTCTGGCCGCATCATGGCGAACATCAGCGTCACTGTCGACGGTATTAGGGTGAACCGTGAGTCCCACCATGTTACCACCATTGCAATCCCTATTGTAGGGGAGACCTAGTTGATTGAACGTCTCATCGAGTCCAGGTAACAGGCTGTTGTTTGTCATTGCTCGAGGCCAGCCTACTTTGAGTGGGCCATGTTGGCCATGATGGGCGATGTAAAAGTCAGCGCCACGAGCAATTTGATCTGGTGTGGGCACTTGGAACTCTTCTGATTTTTTATAGTATGGGAAAAGGTTGTTCCAATTCCAACCCTTGTTTCCGACTCGTTCCCAGGTATCAATTTGTACTTTTTGTGCTCGAGTGTAGGACATCCCTATATGGAGAAGTGTTAGCACAGGCGCAATAGGCTCCCATAGGTTCATTCCATCGAAAAGGCTAAGTCAAATTACCGTTGATGGTGCTTGTACCACCGATGGCTTTTCCAGCACGCATAGTCTGTTTCAATCCTCCTGCATATGTTTGGTTTTCGGTTTGGTAGGCCCAGTCAATATCTGTCCCAAATGATTGACCGTAGCCCGTCACAGAAGAAACGTTAGCATTATTGAGCACTGAATCCCCAGCTTCGATCACTGCCACAGTGAAATTCCTCATCTCTGAAAGTCTATTAGCAAGAACCAATCCGCTCGTACCTCCACCGACAATGACAAAATCGTATTGTGGGTGTGAGCCATCTTTGTTCTTTGCATCCACCGCACCTAGCCAAATAAGTGCACAGCTGATTGTTAAGAGGCGCATTGTGGTTGACTGAAAGAAAATGTCACTTCCTCAGAGAGAGGAGCCGCGGGTTTCCTTCGTACAACACACACAGATTACCAAGTGAATATAGTGTTTAGACAGCATTGGGGTGTTGGGAATCTCACAGATTTACTCAACCCCCGTCAGTTGTATCAGGGTTGCCTGGTTGGCAGTTGGAATGTCTGATCCATTCCCCACATGCATGTAGAATGTAAAAGGTACATGCGGAGGGCGTACTCAAAGAATATGAAAAAAATAAGTATTGAAGCACCCCTTGAGAGATTCCATCTTAGTCTGCATAAAATGGAGGTTGGGCCATTTCTACTCATGACTCGTAACTAAGGTCATCTGCACACGGAGTAGATGTTTTTCCATGCCTGTGTGTATTTAGGGCTTCGAGCTAATGTTATAATATTCTGTGCTAAATAAATCAGGTTAAGAGTGCATGTTGATTTTGCTTTCCTTGAAATTGATCCTTCGTCGACTATTTGTTAGGGGATGTATGCTAGTCTTTATCTAATGACATTTCCTAGATTTCATACTATAGACCTGCTTAGAACCCAATATCACGAAGTACATATCAGCTATCTTGTCCTTCGGGTTGCGTAAAATAATTACAAGCGTGTTTCCCTACTAGTTATATACTTTCTACATAACCCTGTTTCTGGTTCATGAGTCAAAAACATAGGCTGTGCATGTGGCTTTTTATGTATAACCTTTGATGATGATATATGCACCCGGTGATATTTTCTGCCTGCAATGCTGTACGGTTACTCTATACCTCTACTAAGTACTCCGCATTCACATAGTACTGTAGGCAGACAGACCCTCAAGAGCTCAATCTAGTCCAATTGCAAATTAATTGATTCGAGTCCAAGTTTAGCGAATCAGCCCCACCTCATGCAGCTCGGCAATATTCGAACATTACCGACTAGCACACATCCTCGATCACCAACTTTTGCCCATCGTGTTCGCCCAGATCCAGCTTCAAGGTGCGCCCAAACAGTTCAACCAGCATCTCGAAGCAGACCTTGGTAATAGCGGGATCATACCGGCCCTTACTGAGCTCATCACGGATAAAGGCATCTGGATAATTATTCTTATTAGCATATTTGTGTTCGATAGTGTCAAGATGATTTTTTCACTCACGTTGTGCCCAAGCGACTTCATAGAAACCGAACAAGACACCCTTATCATGTAGGGTTTTACGGATGAGATCGCGCCCCTCGGGCGGGACGTGGTTATCATTTTTGCCGAATATCTAGAGTATATGTTTAGCAATTCATCCGAATGAAAGCAATAGAGAACAAAATCAAGACATACCATTAGGATCTCACCCTTGATATCCCCGGCTCTCTCTAAACTATCGTCATTCTTACCCAGGGCAAGGGTCTTGCTGTGGATATCCGTGGCAAAGTAACACACGCTCGCCTTAACCCGGCTATCCAGCGCGCAACGATAGGCCAGATGGCCACCTAGACACATGCCCGTGGTACCAACTTGGCCATTGCAAGTGGGCAGTGAGAGCAGATAATCGACGCTAAGACTAGCGTCTTCATCATAAGCAGCAAGTTTCTGATACACAGTTAGCGCCGGAAATTAATTATAAACAAAAACAGCCTAATGAGCAACAAGAATAGAGAATGCAAGTTAAGCATGTATTCGCGGCCGCTGTGTTGTTTGGCCTACCTTGCTAATTTTCCATGCATTCCCCTTGTCCGTGTCCTCCGCGTCATACTTGAGAGGTTCTGGGCCAGTGAATTCATGGTAGCTCGAAGGGGCAGCACAGATATACCCCTGGCCTGCGATCTGGCGTGCAAAGCGTGCCACGGGGCCCGTCACTATGGGTCAGGATCTTTAGTTGAGCTGTTCGAGCATGCTCGCAAAGGGAACGCAAACCTTGATAGATCTCGCTGAAGACTACGACTCCGGGGAAGCGGGCTTTGGGGTAGCCTGGGATTGTTGGGTGGAAGATATAGATGCCTGGTAAATCGTTAGAATTGCCATTATAAAGGAGCAATGGCTTTATAGAGGGGAGGTAGAGAAGCTATTGTGTACATACGCATCGAGCCCTGTCCATCCGCTTTGGTGGGGACATCATGATAGGATTCCTGGATCAGCATCGCGTCTCTCTTTTTGTTTCAAATATAGAAATATATCGGAATTGATTCGAGGAACCAATTGATAGGCGATTGATGCGCGGCGAAAACATTATCGATAACACACGCGGGGCAGTCATGTGCTCCGCTTAGGCCGTCCACTGTCGGCCCCACTCCGGGTTTTGATACGCGCACCATCGATTTTACTACCCGCACCATTTTACATAAGCAAATCCTTAGATAATCAAGAAATCACGGGTATAATCGGATGAAAAGTCATGTGATTATCAACCTCATCTATCAATTTACTGGGCTGATTGTAAGATAGATAGCAGATAAAAATTGTTGATATAGTACGGAGTACTATTTGACTATATATTCCGGAGTAAGTGATCATATTAATCCACAAACAGCATGATTTAGCCCTATAAACTAGCCCAATCGGGTAGTGTACAGGTTCTTTTACTCCCTCAATAGGCCTAAGGTTCCTTTTAAGTATCAATTACCTGATCTTATCAGATCAAATCGGTCGATTTTATTGGATAAAACCACTCTATTCTGGTTTATTAAGCCTGTTCCAGCACAATTGCACCTAATTCTACCACCAAGTATACCCTAGCAGTAGAAACGGGTAGAAAACTACCCAATTGGGAAGGTAAGCAGTCCAAAGAGGAAGCAGAAAGCGCTAAGCAGGTGTTCCGGGTGTGAAGAGACTGGATATACGTTTAGGAGATACCCGATGCGGAAGTTTTGATGTTATTTGTGTTGCTTAATGCGGAAATAATTGTTGTTTGCTATTATATATGTATCAGATTGATAGATAAGGTTGATAATTATATGATTTTTCATCCGATTATACCCGTAATTTTTTGATTATCTAAGAATTTGCTTATGTAAAATGGTGCGGGTAGTAAAATCGATGGTGCGCGTATCAAAACCCCCCACTCCTAATGGATTACATAAGAGCATTTAAGCACCTGGGCACCTTCCGTGGACTCTACATAACTACTTAACTAGCCAAAAGATCATATCATATTCCCTTAGGATAGGGTATGTAAAGACCAACAGAACGTGAGTTCGTTATTGCACCAATATAGTATTAGGCCCTAACATTTGTTGGGGACCACAACATCTCAACAACCCGGCGTTATGTACGGAGTACATAGATAACTTTGATTGCCTTTGAGTGCAGGGATTATGGATTGAATCAAATAGAAAGTATTCTTATAGATCAACTTCGGAATCCAAGCAATTCTAGGTCGTACAAAAAAGTTATGAATAAGTTATAAAGTGGATTCCAAATAAGTCAGAGGCCACCATAGAGGAAGGCCGGAACATCTTGGTTCATGATCGGTGCAGGTATTAATAATCTAGTTTCCGAGGTTTCTTTCTTATGTGATAGATCATCACATAGTACGGAGTACTAGAAACCCGGTAATACGACTGCTTTGCAGAGTAGGGGAAAAAGCTGTCGAATTGAAAATTTGTGACTCTAGAAAATGGTACTCGGCGATGAATACAGAGAAAGAAATTCTGCCATTAACTATCAATGGGAATGAACAGGGAGAAAAAAGGAGAAAAGAGAAAAGAACAAAAAGGAGAAAAAAGCGATGGGAAGTCCTGAAGAGAGAGATGTATATAGCTGACTACAATATCCTAACTCCATTGAGGTCACCCCCCCAAAAACAGGGATTCATCCATGCAATATCTACTATGCAGGGTAGAAAAAGATCCAGTCTATCTTGAGCTAATAATTCGATTAATTTTATATGTGCTCGATGAGAAATCCCCAGACTTCAGCTCAACAGGTACACTCATGACTTTGAGACATTATGTACAAAATCCCAACAACGCACTCTGGGTTTGAAGTTTTCGGCTCTTCTCTGCACAGACATCGAGTTTCTCATCTTATGGAAAGACCAAAACTGTGGAAGCCCCATGATGTTGATATATGAACCACATTCAAGCTAAAATCCTAATCCGGTATCGGAAAGGCTACCCATATGAATATCTCGACATGGAGAGTCGAATAAGCAACGCGCGAGGAGTTACTTGAAAATCTTGTGTAGAAGATTCGCAGAGCTCTGGGCTAGTTCTAAGGTCTTTTTCGGTGAGGCAAAACACTGGTGTTAAGTTGTAGCTGACCTCGAGAAGACCCTGCTTAGCAGCCCCCAGATGAACTTCTTATGATATTGAACATGGAGTAATGGCCAGTGTTAACCAATTCTTTGTTTCCGCCTCACCCAAACCTCCTGGTCCGTACTCCCAGGTGCCGATGAATCGCGCAGCTGAACCTCCCACACCTTGAGTGTGTAGTTGCCACGATCAGCGCGCCCAGAGAATATATCAAAAGACCAACCATGCTTGGGACATGTGAGACCGGCGCTGAGTATGATTCCAAAGTCCTCAATATCAAAGAGGTTACCCCGTGAAAGCGGGAATGATGAGTGGGGGCATTGCTAGAAAGGATGAGCGTAATCCTTCCGCAACTAGAGGATGGCTCTAACTCACATGATCCACAGCATGATATTTGCCCCTGTATTTGAACACCAGGACTTGGTCCTTCAGCTCTCCTGGTAGGTCAATGTCTTCGACTTGCTCCATGGGGCCGTTTGTCTTGGGAATCTTGAAAGCCTTGCATCTTGGCACAATCCGGGCATCATCATCAATGCTTGGGAACTCGGATGCCAGGCCAACCAGATGCCAGGCTGCAGTTACCCGCGTGAAAGGATTCATTGCGAAAACGAGAGATTTGTCTCTGTTGGGGTCAGGAGAAATCTCCCACGTCCTCTCCCACTTCCGCCCCACCAATTCCGGTGGGGTCTTTCACAATATGTATTCAAGATAATATCTACACCGTACGGGGAAATAAGAATAGGATGGGCAACTTAGCAGAAGAATTACGAAAGTGTTTCCAAGGCTCCACTTCATGTCACATTGATAATCTTTTGGATGAAAGTGTAGATTTCATCAATTTCTCTTTCTAGAGCTAGTTTAGATATCCTAGAACATCTTTGGTTTTTGATTTTGATTCTCCCTGGATTTCGTTTCTGAGGAAAATTATTTTGCTACTACAGTTGTCATCAAAAATGCAAATCAAATCCATCTGAATAGTAGCAGTAGATGCTGCCGCAACAGGGGATTGAAGCAGCATAATGATGATCATCTTACCCCATAAGACATTGGAAGTATGGGGGATATGGAGATCCAGCGAAATTATTTGACACACATAAAACCGCAACCTTCACGAGCACGCTCACAAGCCTTCTTGAGAGCCTGCTCCTCAACATCCGTCCACTTGTAGGTCAGCTCATCCCATGGCTTGCCAGACCGGAACTCCTCGCGGTACTTCTTGTGAATTGACTGCAAACGGCCCACTTCGCGTGGATCACCTGTTCCAGAGTAGACTATGAATAGGGTACAAGGAGGAAGAGATTCGTAAATGCGCGAGATGTTAGAGACCGTCCGGGAGACAGTGTTAGCCAAGACATCGGGCTGCGGAAGATTTGTCGAGTCCCCATTGCCAACGGTTGTGGTCGGTGTGGTTTCTTCAGGAGGAGGAAAAAGAGTTGTGGATTCGTTGGCGTTATTTGGGTCGGGGAGACGGCTGCACCAACCACGATGATATTCGAGGTCACGAATGCGAGCCCAGGCAAAGTCAACACCACCAGCTGGGATGGAGGGGTTGGAATCATCGCCATTGATTACGGCTGAGACACCGCTGACGACTGCATCGTCATCTCGGCATCCAATGGAGACAGTTGCCTGGGCACCAAACCCACGTTCTGGGTTGCCCCAGTCAACCACAGCTCCTGTTCGTTCTTCGCCAGGACGAGGGAGATAACTTGGTCGAGTAGAGCGCGATAGCCGACGGAAGATACTCTCGTTGGAAACGTCGCTCGTGCCCCAGCGCTCGCCTTTCTCGCACTTTAATTTCACAAGTTCAAGGACAGCACGGGCGTCTTCGACGGAGTCATGCCCAGCCATCCCATTTTGTATCTGTTTGTTTTGGTATTTCTGGGTGAGCCATTTCAGGCTACATTTCAGTGGTGGACCACGTGGGTGTGGGTAAATGATGCTGGTATCGACAATGAACGGGTGGACAAGTTTGAGTGCTGTAAGGTCGGAGTTGAGGGAGTGTCCCACGAGGATGGCACGCGGCGTGAGAAGAGTCAAGAGCCGTTGCTGAATATCACGAAGGGTCGTGGTGACTGGCTCAAGCATCTCTGGGGTAATCCCAGAGTAACGTGTGAGATAGTTGATCACCGGCCGTCCTGGTTTCACCAGTTCATCAAGGACCACCTCGCCGTCCCAGCCTACCATGCTGATGCGTGTGAGTTCGGACTGACCCCCCTCAGTAATACACATCTCGCAGTCGAGCGAAAAAACATCTCGCCCAACAGTGACGCTGCCATTTTCAATTTCCGCATCAGGTGGTTGAGCAGACTCCAGTGTCTGAACTTGAGTATCCACCCATCCATCTTCTGCCGACTGCCCGCCTCGCTGACGAGCCTCCACCTGGGAGGATCTCTCAGCATCCGAAGTAAAGAAGGCAGGATGCAAAATAAAGTCATTTTCGAGTAGATCCTCACGCGAAGCAACAAAGGCTGTGATTGGTGTTCGTTTCGGAACGAAGCCTTTATCGACCTTTGCAGGACGCGCACCCTTCGCATGGGAGTCGTCATTTTTAGTCTTGGGGGGTGAGGACATAAGAATGGCCTGCAGTGGCGAATGCACCTTGTTATATTTGTTGTCGCCCGGCGCCTTAACAGGCCAGATATGAGGAAACATGTCGGCCAGCGGCTGAAGCGGTTCGGGGAGGGTATCGCGCGTGAGAGATCTAGGATTGAAGCGATGCGAGCGGTCTGGTAATGGGAGGCCCTGTTTCCATCGCTCGTAATCGGCAGTGTGTTCGTCTTCAGGTACCTCGTCAGTGGCTCCAGGCGGATTCGACTTGGGTTCCTGTGTCTCTTGCTTCCCAGTAGCTGATTCCTTTTGCACAGAAATTGTCCCATCAAACATTCCAATCTCTAGGCCAGGTACCATTAGTACAGCCACCTTGCGCACATGGCCAGAATGCTTCATGGAGATCCATTGGGGCGCGATGCCATCGGCGAAGCAATAGAGGAGCAATCCCTGGAGATCGGCAATTCGGATAGGCGCCTGTAGTTTTCCCTCAGCATACGTGAGATCTGGGTATTTGACTTTCTCGCCATCAACTCTTTTGCGCTTCTTTGACGCATGGCTACCATTAGAACCTTCACTGTTCGGGTGATCGCTCTGCAGACGAGACAATGTATCGGCCACACCGAGTCGCTGTTGTATGGGTTGACCAACTGGGTCGTCTGAGCTAAGCTTTCTTTTCCTATCTCTTCCCATATTGTCTTTGGATTTGCAGGTTCCTTACTGAATCTCAACATGGAAATTCAGGATGATATGCGATAAGGTCACGTGGTATGCATTATGATCACGTGTACGGCGATATGTATACGGTACGCCAGAGACGCCAGAGACGCCGAACAATCTGATAACCGGAAATCTAGGATCGCCGTGCAGGGGGCTTATTTTTGGTATCCATCACGCCATTTTTCTGACACATCCCCTTCGCTTCTCGATTTTGGCTTTACATTGACATTTGTTCGAACTTGTCTTCAAAGAACATACCTCTCATCGCCGATTCTCGCCTTTGCCATCCAGTTCCACTCGTATCACTCCACTTCATACACACTCCACGATGTCGACACTCACTGAAGTCACATCTGAGGCCGACTTCTCGTCGCATCTCTCCTCACTGTCACCTTCTGCATTAGTTGTCCTATACTTCCACACTCCATGGGCTGCCCCATGCGCGCAGATGGGCGCAGTGCTTTCAGCCCTCGCTTCGCAGTACCCCGCCACTGCCCCGCCCACCATCTCGTTTGTCAGCATCAACGCCGAGGAGCTACCTGATATCTCGGAGGAGTATGACGTTTCTGCCGTGCCATTCGTCGTGTGCCTACGTAGCGGCCAGATTTTGGAGTCAATCAGTGGAAGTGATGCCGTGAAGGTTCGTGACGCTGTTGAGCGCCACGCTGGCCGCGGAAATGTTGTAGGTACCGTCGGTCCGATGGACGGTGTGAAAGCCAACATCCCCCCGCCGCTATCTGCTGTGCCTCGTGAGGATGGTCCCTTGACTGCCACTCAGATTCCCGTCAACGCTTCTGTGTCTCCTTCTGCTGATGCAGCTAACGCAACAGCTGTTGCACCTGGCCCCGCCCTGACACCCGAACAGTCCCGGGAGGCACTGTTTGCCCGCCTCGAACAACTAGTCAAGGCAGCATCTGTCATGCTGTTCATGAAAGGAACACCCAGTAGCCCGCAATGCGGATTCAGTCGGCAGCTGGTTGGCATTTTACGCGAGCGTAGTGTCAAATACGGTTTCTTCAATATCTTGGCCGATGAGGATGTGCGCCAGGGTCTGAAGGAGTACGCTGAATGGCCCACTTTCCCTCAATTGTGGGTGAATGGAGAATTGGTCGGTGGTCTGGATATTGTATGTGTTCCGGCCCACTCTAGTCATTTGTTTCGATTATTAACTCATTGTTACAGGTCCGCGAGGAAATCAACAATGACCCGGATTTCCTCACTGATCACTCTGTTAACAAGCCCACCATGGCTGCTTGAGTGAGTGCCTGGTTGGTCGTTGCACGATACCCATGACCCCCCTGTCTCTGGGGCTAGATGCTAAAAGTCTAACATAATGATAAACCTCTTTGTCTTGGTACGGCTTATATGGATGTCTGATCATATCGTATCCTTCGCATTGTTGCGGGACATGCCCTTGCTATATATTGAAACACGCAGTGTCAAATCAAACCCACTCATTGCCACAGATCATTCCTGTTGACCATGACGAATTCAACACAACCTCTTCACAAGCTTGCGCTAGCAGTTCCACCTACCCTACCTTGTACCCCAATGACTGTGTCAAGTGATGGCCCTAAAGCTGCGCTCAGGTTTCAGAACATGAATACATTAATATTTACAGCCTACATTTGTAGGCATGGATCATGGATTGAGAACTTGGATCATTCCAGGCTAAAAATATTTCACATTTTTATATTCAATCGATTGATCTTTGTCCATTTCGCCTAGTTTATTCTTTTCCTGTGCCCTCATCTGTGTGGTCCCCATGAACCTGACCAATCTCTTGTTCTCCCTCAATCTCTATTGATTCACCTTCAGCCACCGTTCTAGGAGCTTTTTTCATCCAAACAGATGAATATTTATGCTTACAGACGGCAAAGCGGGATAGCAGAGCATCAGTATCGACATACGCGCCTGCTAGCCAGCGAGATCCTACGCTAGCATTGAATTGGCGGCGAGCATGGACAATTCGTCTGTTGTCAAAGATAACACAATCACCTGGGTTGAGTTTGAGTTCAAAGATGCGCTTCGGATTATCAATAATTGAAGTGAACTTCGCAAGGGCGTCTCGTAGTTTGTTCACAGACTCAGCATCATGGCCTTTCCCGTCATGTGGTGGGAGAGGAGACTGAAAGGGTGGCGAGTAATTGACGTGGCGTAGTTCCCCTGTGTCGGAATCATGCTCAAAGACGGGTCGTTCGTTGTAGTAGATGTGGTCCTCATGCCTATACTCGTATCCTAACCGTTGCTCGCGAAGCACGTTATACTCTTTTGGATGTTGCGCATTCATGAGTTTTGCAGCCGAAAATGTGTCCGCGAACAACGACTCGCCACCCGAACATGAGTTCTCCAGACAATGGAGGAGTTGGTATCCCGGTGGCTCGTTCATATACATCAAATCCATGTGAAATCCAAGGAACTGGTTTGTATATGCCACATTTCTCGCCTGTGGAACGGTGCGGACATCGAATGTTGATCCGTAGAAGGTGTTTCGTAGTGGTCCCATACGTGTTGCAATAGCTTCAACCATCAATCGTGAGTCTGGAATATCCTTCACAAAAATAAGGCCCAGACGCTGCAACTGCTGCATCGCTGTGGCAAATTTGGAATCATCGGCAATATAGTCCGAGTAAGACACCCAATGTTGAGTTTTGTCCATTTGAGCCCGTCCCCACATGATCGGCTTGCTGGTAGCACTCCGATGTTGGCGATGAGTGTTGAAAATGGGGCTTTTTAGAAAGCCACGGTCCCAAGTTGATTCATGCGCAGTCTGAGATCCCTCACTGTCATTGGCCCATCTAATTGAAAGTTTTTTCCCATCCCAACTGATCAGGCTTGGAGCAATGTCCTTGGGGATATCACTTGTGCGGAACGAGCGTTGCTTAGAGTGTTGATCCTTGCACACCACACACTGGCATGAATCGCGCAGGTAGGTATATGGCAGTTTTATTGTTGTGTTTTTGTCCATATGCAAGTACATTTCCTCTTTTCCAGCCCAAATCGACTCTTTTCTACCCACTTTTTGAACGACGGCATCCGTACAGGATCTCCTTATAGTCTCGTGGGAGGTAGAATTTTGTACATCGCTCTTGGAGTTGCTAGGTTCTTGTAGTATAGGCAGTGGATGTTGGATATTCGGGGCAACAGGATTCAATTTGTCGTGAGAGTCTGCCTCTACGGTGCTGTTGAACCTACTTGGGGTGACGATCAAGTTACGGCGCGGGGCAGAGCATGACAAGGCTCGTGGCAATTGCCAGAGGGTAGCTGAAGTTCGGAGACGATGCATGAAGGGTCCGTGAAGAATCTAAGAAGGAGAGATGATCAGTGAAAGGGCAAAGAGGGGCAAATTATACCTTAAGGGGCAACCGGGACAAATGGAGCGGAGTTATAATTACCTCGGCCTTCCGGAGATTCAATGTGACTATTTATGCCTGAGGCATGATTAGCACCCTAGACTGTAACTGACACCTCAGGCAGGATTCTCATTCTTCTTGGCATGATGACATCGGGGGCTCGGAACTTACGTAAATTGCCATTGACGTTGTTTTTGTTTTCCGCATTCCAATACACACTCAACGAATCAATATGGATCTTCATGCTTCAATTCAAAACCTAGACCCAACCATCCCTACAGGCATCTTCAGTCTGTAAGAAAAAACATTTTCAACTCATGTCGGCCGGGGGCGAGCATCTCAAAGATGAAGGCACCAAGCGACAGGTCGTGTTGGCCGGCGGAATTGCAGGGCTGATATCGCGGTTCTGCATTGCGCCACTAGACGTCGTCAAGATCAGGTTGCAGTTGCAAATCCATTCTTTGTCAGATCCTGCGTCCCACGTCAGTGTCAATGGGCCTATTTATAAGGGGACATTATCCACCATGCGGACGATCATGAAGCAAGAGGGAATTACTGTATGTTGAAAAGAGTGCCTTGTTTCTCAATGTTAATTTTAATATCCTGACCCAAATCTCTCCCCACAGGGCCTCTGGAAGGGCAATATTCCTGCCGAAATGATGTATGTCTGCTACGGCGCCATGCAATTCACCGCGTATCGGGGAACAACCCAAGCCCTCTCCCAACTCGGCTCCTACCGACTCCCCCAACCCGTCGAATCCTTCATCTCTGGCGCAGTGGCAGGTGGATGTGCGACCGGGGCAACATACCCGCTTGACCTTCTTCGCACGCGATTCGCCGCACAAGGTCCGGACCGTGTGTATCGCTCGCTGCGGGCCTCAATTGTGGAGATCGCTCGACACGAGGGCGTACCAGGATTCTACCGGGGATGTTCTGCCGCTGTGGCTCAAATTGTGCCATACATGGGGCTTTTTTTCACAACATACGAGGCGCTGAGACCAGTCATGACCTGGGATGCTCTGCCTTTGGGTACAGGAGATGCCGCAGCCGGTGTGGTGGCCAGTGTACTGGCTAAGACGGGTGTATTCCCACTTGACCTGGTGCGAAAGCGCTTGCAGGTACAGGGTCCAACAAGAACCCGCTACGTTCATCGCAATATCCCGGAGTACAAGGGAGTCCTCCAAAGCATTGCCATGATTGTCCGCACCCAGGGTGTGCGTGGTTTATACCGCGGCTTGACTGTCAGTCTACTCAAAGCGGCACCGGCAAGTGCGGTGACAATGTGGACCTATGAACACGCATTAAAACTCCTTCGAGGGCTCGATGTCGCAGCTGACAGTTGAAGGGGATCTTCAACTTGTATCACTAGTATAATTTTGCATGGAGCATTTGATGGCGTTGTCAATAGAAGGTTGTATTAGAATAAGTCGAAAAGTAAAATAATACTCAAGGAATTTAATTTGTTTTCATTTTTCAATCCGATTTCTTTCAAGACATATTTTGATCACTTTTTTCGCCTTTCGCTCGACTTGCTTGTCAATCAAATTCGGCGTCTCGGCGGTCGAACAACCACAGAAACCCGTCACAGAAACACAGTGCGGCAGATGCTCAGACATATCGAGCATCATATCAATTTGCTAGAAGCAGCAACAAGGCAAGTGCATATTCAGTACTCGACCCCTTCAACCACGGTCTCCTCAGCGACCTCCTCGTAATCCTTCTCAAGAGCAGCGAGATCCTCACGGGCTTCAGAGAATTCGCCCTCTTCCATCCCTTCACCAACATACCAGTGGACAAACGCACGCTTGGAATACATCAGGTCGAAGTTGTGATCCAGACGACTCCATGCCTCAGCAATGGCAGTGGTGTTAGACAGCATACTGACCGAACGGTCAACACACGCAAGTTCATCATCAGGACAGCGCACAGGCTTTTGGTAGTTGATGCCCAACTTGAATCCGGTAGGACACCACTCAACCAAACTGAAGGTACCCCTAGTCTTGAGGGCGTGCACAGCCATAGTGCAGTCATGGGGTACAACATCACCCTTGTAGAGTAAAGCCACCGCCATGTACTTGCCCTTTCGTGGATCGCAGTTCACCATCTGGTTATTGGGTTCAAAACCTATGACTGAGTTAGCAGAATCTTACACCCCATTGGGAAAGAATTCACACACACTGGAAGGTGAGATCCTGGATCTTGAAACTCTCGTGAGAGCTGCGCTGGCTACTGATCACTGGAGCATATGAAATCAAGGGATAGTGGATACGTGGATATGGGACAAGGTTGGTCTGAAACTCGGCCAAATCGACATTGAGTGCACCGTCAAATCGCAAGCTGGATGTTATGGAGCTCACTACCTGAGCAATAAGACGGTTCAGATGCTCATATCCAGGGCGAGGAATATCCAGGTTACGTCTGCATATGTCATATACGGCGTCGTTGTCAACTAGGAAAGTACAGTCGGAGTTCTCAATGGTGCTGTGGGTTGAGAGGACGGCATTGTAGGGCTCTACCACGGCAGTCGATGTACGCGGAGAAGGGTAGATTGAGAACTCCAGCTTTGACTTCCGCCCATACATACTGGTCAGATGATCCAACAACAGTGAACCAAAACCAGAGCCTGTACCACCACCGAATGAGTGGAAAATCAAGAAGCCCTGCAGGGAATTGCAGTTCTCTATGAAGATATTAGTGGAGACATGTCAGGGTTGAGGGTCAAGTTGGCAGGTTCGTACCGGCCACATAACGAATTTTCTCGATCACATCTCCACAAATCTCTCTCCCGACGGTGTAATGACCCCGAGCATCTGCCACATGTTAGCCCCTGAGTTACAAGCTTTCATCTGCAATATAATTGGATTGTACAGTTGTTTGCAGCATCTTCGTTTCCACTGATCAGCTGTTGTGGACGAAAAAGATCACGATAAGTGCCAGTGCGGATCTCATCGATGGGCTAACGCAATTATTCAGCTGATATGCTTGGTAAATTTGTGATCCGATATATCACATACAGATGGGTCAAGGTCGACGAATATGGAACGGGGAACATATTTGCCGCCGGATGTCTCAGTAAAGAAAGTCTCGTAAGATCCGCTTTTTGCGGCGTTATCAGTAATATCGGGATCGATAAATCCATCAGGCTTCAAACCGTGTTCAAGTAGATACCTGCATTGCATCTTGGTTAGCGGCGAGTTTGGAGATACTACACAATGAAGAGACGTACAGTTCCCAGGCAGCATTACCAAGCTGTGTGCCAGCTTGGCCAATGTGTATATGGCAGATCTGGAGAGTTCAAGGCAATATTAGTGTTTCTTTGTTTCAATGCTGATTTTGCTTTGGTTGGAGTGGATGAGAGCCAGTGTATCTTGGTGTTGGGAGGGAAGCATAAAGACAGGTCAACACCATAGACACAATAGCAGTGCAGCAGAATATTGGAACATTCGTACCTCGCCTCGCATGGTAGATTGTACTGACAACTTGGGTTAGAATAAAAAATGGGAATGAGGATGGAGTGAAGTGGGGAGAGTTGTGCGTAAGAGAAGATGTCGGGGGGACAAAACAAGATCTCTTTGACGTAGAAGCAAGCAACCCCAAACTTACGATGACAATGCGAACTATTCTAGAAATTCCCATAAAGCCTACCTTATATGTGTAAAATTATATTATCTATCTTTAAATGGTTGCAGTGATCTCAAATCTATATATGATTGGCCACCATCTATCATCAATGGAGGATTTTTTTACACTATACAACGGGCCACATGAAAATCTCGTCGTTTGGCTTGTCTGGTATGACGAAAGTACCTAAACTTGGATTTCCTGGCTAACCTGAGACCGGTTATATTCACCAAGGGGATATGGTCAAATCGTTCTAGATACCACCAGTCATACATACACTACGAAGAAGAATGGTCTGAGATAGATACTCCTGCTCAATTATGGCTTGCGTCATGTCCTCTATTTCCCGGTCCATACTGGAATACTAGAATATGGTGTGAGTCAATAATATCACCCATGAAATAGTCAGATATCCCGGTATACCCAGTGTTGCTTCGTCTAGCACCAGGATTAAGTTTTTCCTCGCTAACCCACAGGCCAGGGCAAAAGGCTGGCGCTCACTTAGTGACCAATCCGATATCCAAAGTGTCTGGTTGAGCCCTCCCTCCCCGCTGTTAGCAACATTATACCCGCCCCCAAAAAAGCAGTCTCACTGTTTCAAGCGCGGCTGTGAGACATGCATCTGAAACGGAGTCAGTGGCGGAATCGCGGTCTGAGTTGAATCTCAGGGCTCCAGACATGAACAACGGTTCCTGAGGAATTACATCGATACTAGATCGTACATCGGTTCATTGCAAAGCTGTTGAATATATTCTATCTACATGAATATAGCCACCTTGTAGATCGGCCATTTGATGTAAAAGGAGATCAATCAGGATCAGTGGGGCATCAGGTCTAGCTTGGTTATTTTGTGTATATTTGTATTTTGAGGTCTTACCTATAGTCAGCAATGTTCCAAGGTGACTCTGGAATATAGCCTCACCGCGGGTTGGCCAGAGGCCCCGGCCTGTGTTGGTGATGACTCAGACAAAAAATGCCCTGTAATATCTCTAGATCTTGATCACTAAGATCCAAGACGGGCCACCGTATACTAACAACTGTAAAGAGTGACATTGCAAACAAGGCAGCGTACACTCCGGTATAAAGCCCTTATCATATGACCATCTGTGAAGCCAAATCGCTATTACATAGTGATCCTTCAACTGATTGTTTTACGGGCTTGAGCAACTCATTAGTAATTTGATCCAAGACGATACTCATGGTCCAATAGAGAAGATAGAATGAGTAGATAGACCATTTGCCGTCTCTCTATGAAGCATCCAAATTAGGCTGTTCATTCATGGAAGGCTAAATTATTAGATCGGAACTACTAGTAGCCGAGAATGGCTTTGGGGGATTATTTTCACAGTCTTGTAATAATGCTTTGCTAAATATATTTTCAACTCTTCAAAGCAACACAGAAGCCCATTGTTTGTATCTTGCTGCTGTCTGCCTAACCTGATTAAAAGTTTCCTGTCAAAGAAATTTGACGGTTCAATCACTTTAGCCGGTTTTTGATTATATGGTCTGCTTTTCACTTGCTGGCCCATTCCTTGCAAACTTGAACGATCTCACTTCTAAGCTGTCTTCTTTGGCATGTTAGTTTTATCCTTCATGTTCTGATGTTCTGCGATAAGCGCGGTCGAGTTTCAACAACACAGAAATGCTCCTAGTATTGCTGATTCTTGCCTTCGCGTAGTGAAGGATGAGTGGCATTCTCGTATAAGGAATTGCCCTGGCTGGCAACAGGAGAGTCATCCTGGCTAGCCGAAGTTTCTGACGGCGTCATGTGTCTGGTTCTAATTGATTTGAGGCTTAGACAGGCTAATTGATGGAGATTGTAAGGATCCCGAGACTTTCAAACTTTTAGTATCGCTTTGGAACGTTATGGAAGACTAGGGAGTTTGGGGCCACTTCCCATAGAGAGCATTGGCTTGGCCCTTCAATGATTCCCTTAATATGATGTCTCTTTGCACGGTGGGTTATGAAAGGGCAACGTGCTGCTTGGGTTTGGTGGTGAAAGCAATTGTCGACTCAATAGTACTTTGGGATTTGGGGGTGGTAGTGGATGGATATGGTTGTGATGGGAACTTTCCAAGGTTGGAACATGCATAATAACGAGATGCTATCTACATAGAAGAATATACATATATATGTTAGCTACATACAGGTATGTACATCTGGGCATACCTATGTCTGTAGGTAGCTTTATCTATTTCGAAGGCACATGGCTAGGTTAGAGCCATAAACACATCTAAACATACCAAAAAGAGACATCACAAGGCCGGATAAGTGACTATTCTTATTCCCTGTTTGTATTCCAAATGATTGCTGGGGGAGAGACTTCCATGGTTCATTGAAACATTGAACAAGACATAGATGTGATAGATTAGAGGTAGAAAATGAACGGCGTTTATTTGTCAAATCACCGAGACTTAACCTAAAATGCAATATATATGATCAATAGGCCACCAAACAATAATAAAAAAGAGCTTTGAGGCCGATATGGGGATATATGTATGGTAGAAAGAACAAATTATGGTTCTGTCAAGACAAAGTTCGTCACGATGTATGAAAAGGGGAAAGTAAAAGATATGACAACAGTGTATGTTCAGTCAACGAATATGATATCAATAGAAGAGATTGAAAATGATCACATCTTAGATTAATTTGGGTGCTCCTTGACAGGAACCGCTGCCGGGGGAGGCGGAGTAGGTTCCTCAGAGCGGCCCTGCTCCATCAAGTCATCACGATCGCGACTCATGCTGCTGCGATGTTGGAAAAAGCGGTTGCGACTGAGCGATGACTGACCACTGCGGAAACTGTGGGCGTCGTTTGACCGGCGACCCTCCTCATTATAGGAGGGAGCGCTTAGGTTTGAAGGGCGACGATACCGGGAAGAAGTGCGGCTGCTCCGGCGCTCCTCTTCGTCCTCGTTCTCTTCCTGAATGCGGCGCTCGGCAGCATCGCGGTTGGCGGTACGGATGACATCACCAATGACCACACCCCGATCCTCAAACACATCTCCCATAATGTCATTGGAGGCCATGTTAGACATGCCTAAGGAGAAGTCGACGTGCTTGCGCTGTGAGACAGACGGGCCGCGGGCACGGGCGTTGGCAGTGTGCATACCCTTGCGGAGAATCGATGGATGACGGCCAGCGCTACCGCTACTGGTACCGGTATTCTCGGGAAGGTGTTGAGACGTTGCTGAGATCGGGACCTCCTCGGCGTTGGCTTCGGCGTCGGCGTCGATGGGGATGAGTTGATCGGCAGGGCGCATACTGCCATTGTTGATGTGGAAGGGAATGTCGAACTTGGCACCCTGGAGGTTCATGCGTGGGCCCTCGATGCCGATCTCTTGGAGAGCGACCATGAGCATACATATGAACTTGTTGCGCCGCTGCAGACGCAGACCCTCGTTCTGCCAGTTGGACTTGTAAAAGAAGACGACGTTGAGTGTGAGCGAGAAGTTCTCGGTGACAGCACGCATTTCGGTGAGAATGTTGTTCTGGAAGTCGCGTTTCTCGCTGCGTACAAACTCCAAGAGGCGCTGCCGGAGGGAGTCAAGTTGGTCAATGGTGGTGCCGTACTTGATAATGATTGGAACAGCCTCGGCAAGTGCACCTGAGCGGCGCTGATTGAGGATGAAAAGTCCATTTAGGTAGCTGTTTGGCGCCTGCACGACATGGCCTTGCATCTTCTTAAATTCGGTGTAAAGAAGAGTGATCTCCTTCACAAAATAATCATCACCAAGACCGGCATCACCAGCATTGCCGTAGATGGTCACACGGTCACCAACATCGAATGGGTGCTTAACAAAGACGAATATAACCGATTGAAGGAACTCCTGGGCAGTAGCTGAGAACAACCAAGACAAGGCCAGAATAGCAGAGCCCGCAGAGGTGAGCACACCGGCAGCCGAGGTCGAGATGAGCGTCAAGAACACAATCAGTACAATCACAAACACCAAGAACATGAACACGTTGTCCAATTTCGATACGACCGAATCCAAATCCTTTAGGGATGCAGTGATGGACTTGCGCTCACGGCCAATATCGACGCAAACGGCCTCCAGCTCCTCCATGGAAATATCACCATTCATGTCGCGATCAAACATGGCGAAGGCAGCTTCGGCTTCCTCGCCATCGTCAAATGCAGCCTTCAGATCACCACCAAAAACCGTATCAAAGCCATCCCTCACAAAGGTACGATACAGACGGCGCGCCAAGACCTGACAACCTCCGGTAGTTCGTAGGAGCGCTAAAATGACCTGATAGGCATCGGTACTGCGAGTAGTCGTGCGGCCAGTAACATCTGCCACTACTGCGCCTGCGACATCGCCAACCCTGTTTCCAACTTTGTTCAGGGCACCCCTGGCCTTTCGCTGGGCCATTGTAGCGTAATGCAACGGGGTCTTGGCTCCTGAAGAAGCCTGTTCCTCGGGCTTCTGCTCAAATGCATCATCCTTCTCATCAATAGTGGAGCGAGACCACTCGTACAGCTTGGTCAAACTGCCGATCTGGAATTTGTTGATTTCAATACGGTCCGCATAGGTCCGCATGTGGAAGCTTATGGCAATTAACTGGATAAGAATTTTTTCGATGAAATTCAAGATAGTCCAGACAAAGATGGAAATAATGATTTTGTTGAGAGTATTTTCCCAACCCTTAGTCCCCTTATCACCACCTACATGATGGTTTTTCATTGTTGGCAGAAAGGAGATCTCAATGCCGAGCCACCAAAAAAAGATCGCCGCGTGAAGCTCAAGTTGTTTGGCCATGTCGCGCCACTTCTTCGCGTTATTGGTGAATATACTCGCTATAAGACCAGCAGCTGGAGGCAAGCACCTGCTAGCAAGCTTTTTTTTAGAAAAAAGAAACAGATTAGCAAAGTTTCTCGACGGAGAATTATTCACTGGTTGGACTCACCCGTCCTGCCCAGAGAGTCAACCAGACAATTTCCAACCAAATTGAAAACCACATCAATTCTACACCACCCACGTTTGCATTGGGAAACCTGAGAGCGCCGACCAGCAACGGAATCAAGAGGATGATGACAAGGGGAACAATATAGGTAAAGTAGCGGATGAGGAAACTCGACTGGTGCAGCTTCTTCACAAAGACGGCAATCTGGGTGTTTGGTTTCTCGGGGGGTTTGTAAATTGCGGCTTTTTCGTGCAGAGGATTTGTAGCTTCATCGAACTCATCCACTGCGTCCGATCGACGCGAACGGGCGCGATTGATAGAGCCATGGTCGTGTTCGTCGTCTAGTCCGCTGGTTGAATGCGACGTCATACGCTCGGCTTGCAGGAGCATCAAGTCATCATCCAGACGAGTAGCCTGCTCCCGACGGGCGGATGGGGTGCGCATGGGCTGATGCTCATCATCATGAGTATATGCAGTGTCAACCCTTAAGCGACCCGCGTCGCGATCAATGTCGGGCTCAGTTACACAGGTTTCATCGTCGGAGGTGGGAGAGATGTTCAAGTCGTTGCGTTTGTCCTTCGGGTCTGTATGCGTTTTTCGTTCCTCCACAGGGGACGACATAATGGCACCGGGCCAATTATAGTTAGGCGGATCCGGCCAAGGCGGGAGGATAAGACCGGAATGTGGTGAGGGGTATAGGATACGTATGTATATTATGGGCGTTTCGATAACACCACAACCAAAATGAAATGAAATAGTAAGAGGATGTACAAAGGACAAAGGAAGGTGAGGAGGAGGAAGAGGAAGATAGAGAGACAAGAGAGATGAGAAATGGTCAAGTGGAGTTTCGGAGACCCAGCACAGTGCAAAGTCTGGACCTTGAACCTATCTCGATTCGTTAGATTTTATGAAGATCTCGATATATTTATGTTTAGAATTAATTTATTTTATAATTAGATTAATTAGATCAATAACTTTGGAAATTAGAACGAGAATAGGGGGTTTGCTACGGAGTACGGAGTACTACATGCTATTTATTTAGTTTTACAGCATATACTCCATATAAAATGTTATATGTTATGGATCATACACTTCCTATTTTCAACTTGCTTTCGACTTCTATTTCAGCCAAAACAAGTATTTCTGCATACGCAATACCGACCTACTGGGCATTATCTTGGAGACAACTGGCCCATCACGGCCCGCCAACGTTTCGCTGATCCACCCAGTGGCGACAATAAAAGATTTCATCGTTTATACTTCGCAGTATAAATCGCATAAAAAGAAGAGTAGAGTTAGGAAATCTGGGATAGAAGAAAACCAGGATAACATTATATACCTATCATATGTGCTATTATCATACTAATATTAGAATGGGCTTTATGCTTATACCTTTGTAAGTGAGGTCATGGCTAACGCCAAGGACGCCTCCCACTTGGTGGATATGTTGTACAGTACCCCTGCGTCAGACACCATTTTGGGTCATTTTGGGTATAATATTTGTATAAAATAGTACAAAATAGTAAAAATAGTGCATTATAGTCTATATTGTATCATCTCTTCCTTTTACGGTATAAAATGTACAACATATAATAACTATAGGTTGGGTATTCAACAAGTGATATAACCGTGACGTTGCCCATAAGAAACTGAATTAAACATATCCAAACCTCTAATAATAACATGCAAAAATTCCTCGGACTGAATTAAATATACACGATACGGAGTACTTGGCACTCACATTATGTGCCCTGATAGAACGATTATTGACTCGAGCTAGATTGTACAGATGCACAGTTTCCACCATCGTGCACCGTGCTTGAAAAAGAAAACAGTGTGAATGGACATTTGAAGATCATTAACCGAGGTATTGTTTAGGACTAGGATTTTCGCGAGTATTTGAGTAGCGTCGTCTAATCACAAGTCTTCACTGGGACCACTATCGTGGCTGTAAAGCACTTACTTTGTACACTATGTATGTATGTTATAGAGAGACAAGGTACTCCTGTCCACTAATACAAGATAACCAAGGAATCCCCATGAAGAAAGGCATCTTATAAAACAAGATTTGAAAAAAATCAAAAATAAAACAGCGTCAAGCTGATGTTGGAATTTCAATCACATGGTCAAAAAGATGAGAGACTACCTTCGCTGAAAAAAAGGCCATGGCAAGTAAAAAGGAAGGCCGGAACACCTTGCTCCAAGGATCACAAAAAAAAAGAGTGGGAAAAAACGTTCAGACATAAGAGACGTGAGAGAGTGTGTGGATATGACAATGTATCGGGTACAAGGTATCCCGAGAGTAGATAAACACAGGGAAGTTTACAGGGAAGACAAAATAGGTGCGCAACAATATGTAGACAGAATAGAAAGATATCCCAGGATCTTTGGCAGAAGCCTTTGCCGGAAAGAAACGAACACAACATCTATCTTTTGAATGCAAAGCTCAAGTCCGGGCGATGTCGCTCCGATGGACGAGGCGTCTGCTCCGGATCAAGGTTGGGAGAAGGATGAAGAGGTCGTGGCGTAGCTTCAGCGTCCGGCGTGGGACTACAGTTGCCGTCCACGCTCGAACCAGCATCTCGGTTCAGAGCGTTGCTGGAGACCTTGACTTCAGGGGTGATTGGAGGGGGAGTTGGGGGGGAGACAGTGCTCTGAGGCAAGTCCCAAGGGGGTGTGGTTTGGCCCTGATCCAACGTTGCCGAGGTAGTCTTCGATGTACGACACTGGGAAAGTCCGGAGTAGATCGAGGTGTCCTGATGCGCCAGAGATGGCCGGTGATGCTGAGAGACAGGTGCCCCAAACCTTGGCGGGGACGCACGAGGACTGACTGATTCTTCGCCTTCCGATTCCTCGGGGATGCTGAGGGCCTCGAAGTGATCTTCTAGGCTCGTACTGGCCGGAGAACCCAAAGAGCCATCGCTGTCTTCGTTATCGGCCGAGGCTTGGTTCCGAAGAGCCTCTCTCTCCTTCTTCAGGAGTTCTTCACTGCCACTGACGACGCTGCCCCGACTGTTGGTCCGCATCATCTCAATCCCCAGTTTAGAGCCGGGACGGCGATTTCGAGAGGGTGGACTGCGACGTGTTTGGGAATTGCCAAGCTCTTCGTCTTCATCGTCACCTGATTCGGCACCCTCATATCGCTTCTTCTCAAGGGATTCCCTTTTGGCACGAATGGCTTCACTTGACCGTTGCCTCCGGGGCGTGAGCCCACCAGTTGTATCCATGGCCGCAGGCGCGGATGCAGCATGAAGGAGGTGAGGCACAGGTATAGTGTTGGGATTCGGGCCCCCAGAGTGTTTCGCTGACTCTTCGGATATCCCTAATCCACCGTGGCCTTGATCCCAGTCATCAGAATTTCGATTTATGATTACTGGAATCTCGTCGGGTTTGGAAGACTCCATATCTCCGAATACGCTGCTGCTGAGCGAATCATCACGACTGGAGCCTCGGTAAGAGCTGGGAGGATTGTGGACAAATCCAGAGGATGTGGAACTAGGGCTGTCCTCGTTTGTCGCGGCGCTAGACCGAGCACCGGAGCCCGGAACAGGAACAGATTGGGAGGGAACGTAGTCCGTTGGAGGGGGTTTCCACATGCACCACTGCAAAAGAGCCTCAGTGAGCTTGGGTAGAGTCGGAGGCTTCTGGATCAAGGCATCGAAGTTGTGGTTCTCCGGAAGGTCTTTCAAATAGCCCGTAACAGCTATGATTGGAGTGTGCCTGTTGGCACTGCGCGTCTCCCGTACCATTCGAGCAAAATCAACTCCGTTGACTTGGGGAAGTCGATATTCAGTCATGATAATATCGAACTGAACCTCGCTGAGAGCGTATCTAACAGCTTCCGCGCCATTTGTAACCGTAATGGTCCGGCAGCGAAGTTTTTCGAACAGGCGTTCCATAACCAGGCGCGAGACGGGATGATCTTCACAAATGAGCACATCTAATGGCCGGAAAAACGGTCCTTCGAGAATGTTGATTTGCGATAGCCGTCGAGAGCTTTGTCGCCGACGTTGGACCTTCAAAAGTGCTTTTGTGCGTGGATCCTCATTGTCAGAAGATGACGGTGAGATATCAAAGAGTTGACTCCGGCGCTTGTGATGATGGGGCATGAAGGGCTCTTTTGGGAACGAGGAAGCATCTCCATCCTGGGAGCCAATGGTGTGCGAGCGGGTACGGCTCGCTGGGGCACTGCCATGGCGTTGGTTGTTGCCTGTCTTGTCGGGGGAGTGGGCTGGGATTCGGTTAGGTTTGACGGGAGAGGACGATACTGAGCCCAGTCTAAGAGTTGGCATGCGCCCCTGATCTGCGGAGGAAGGCTGAAATATTCCACTCGATTGGTGGGACGCTGATGAGGAGCCTGATGTCTTCCGGCGTTCTTGGTTGGTCCCAGTGCTGAATTGAACTAGGAGGGGGGAAGATGGCTGCGACGGCCTGCTAGGAGATGAGTTGGTCTGACTGAGGCCTGATGGGGAAGAAGGTCGATTATTGCCCTTGTTCTGCGACAAAGTTCGTTGGAGTGACATGGGCAGCGGGCTCCCTTCTAGTGAGGGCTGAGATGAAGTGGCCGAAGTCTGGGCAACCGACGATGAATTGGGTTGCCGGTGCTGCGCCTGCAGAGCCTCCTGGCGCATTTTCTGAATCACATCTTTGTTGGCCTTCTCCAGCATCGGAAGATTCTTGAAGTTGAAGCTTCCAAAATCATCGGCCAAGGCCGGTTCGCTTAGTCTCCGACTTCTTGAATCCCGAGCATCACGAACATGGGGAGGAATATGCAGCGGCATCAAAGGTCGTTTTGATGAGTTGACTTGGGATCGGACTTTGAACAGTGCATCATGAGGCCGGTCGGGACCAGCGGAAGTAGACGGCTGTGGTGAGTTCTCATCTTCTAATTCCTCTGCAAAAGATTGAAGAGTAGCGCCGCGGGCATCAAAGTACTCTGTATCCTCTGGGTTCTCGATATTGGGAACGAATTGTGCTTTGTCTTCAAGCAGCGTATCCCAGTTAATCTCAGACAGCCAAGGGTGACTGCAAATCTCTGCGCCGCCACTCGGAAACTTCTCGTCCACATTGGCTCCAATTCTGTCACGAGGGTTGAGAGTCATGAGCTTGTTCATGAGATCCAATGACTCTGCTGAAGTATACTCCTCTGGGTCATCAGGCCAATTGATCCTGCGATGGAGAATGTTTTCGAACACCTCATCTGGGGTATCTGCATTGAAAGGTGGATATCCAAATATAAACTCAAACATGATGCATCCCAATGACCACCAGTCACTGATCTCATCTTGCCCAACGCCGTTGATTGTTTCCGGAGCTAGGTAGTCAGGGGTACCGACAAAACGGCGATCGTGATCTTCAGGATCGAAAAGAGCCATCACTGGAGGCATCATACTCTGTTGGGGAGGGGTATTCTGCACCATTGGATTGCTGAATGTTGGCTGCAGGGGTTGAAGGCGAGGAGACTCGCCCGCCTCGCTTTGACCCTCTTCTTCAACCATGCTGGTTGAAAACACACTAGGCGATGACGCAGAAGGCTCGTGGGCATTATCATTGAGGGAGAATGTCCTGAACATTCCATTGAGACCATCACTGCCCATGCTATCGCTGCGATATCCCGAAGC